GGTTAAAGCACAGCATTGAGAATCTAAAGCTGCCTCCACATGAGTTCGATTCCCGCCTGCCCCGGAGGTGACCACATGGCGCGGCAGACCTCTCCTGACCTGCCTGCTGCTCCCTTCAGCAGTGTACTTCGTCGATCTGCCTGTTCTGTTCCCCACTCTCTCTGGTGAAGCCTCTAGCCGCCCCGAGCCTCTGGCCTGTACCCCAGTTCTGTATGCACAAATAAATCTTTAAAAAAAAAAATGTTCTTTGGCTTTCATTTTCTCTTGACAATTCAACCTCAAAAACACCAGTTATATAATGGCAGGTTTCAATGCTTTTAAAACTTTTATTAACATAAAGTAACACTAGCTAAAAGCATTATGAGTTTCAGCTGTACAACTTATATATCAATATCTGCATTTACTACTATACATACGCTCATCATCAAAAGTCTAGTTTCCACCTGTTGATTTTTAATGAATTAGCAAATGAAACTTCTGTCATACCTTTTGGAGGCTGTAGAAGTCTGGAATTTTCAAACAAGTGCTTCTTTTTAATAGGTAAGATAACTGTATCTTTTAGATCTGTAATAACATCATCCAAACCTGCAATATCACTCCAAGTAACCTGTTAAAAGACAAATTATGCCAGCATGAACTTTACAATAAATGTATATGCACTAAAGTAAATGAAAAAATTTCCCCATATGGAAATTTGTAACTTATAGTTACATGTTAAGATTAGAATGATATATTAATGCAAATAAAAACTTTACACAAATTATTCAATTGTTATAAAGCTACAAGAAAGGAATTTTAACTACTTTTAATAAAGCACTAGGTCTATCATTCAAAATGGTAGGAATCTATAAAGCTCAATTTAAGAAGAAATATTAATAGCCAAGATTAATAGCCAGCTCAAACAGATAATTCACGGAAGAATGAGGAAATGCTCACCAGAAATGTGCCAAAATCACACATGACGCTAGGAAAGAATTTTCTAAGTCTCTATCCAGTCCAAATTTATTAGCCAAAAGTAAAACTGACAAAACTGGGTTCTTATAAGTAGTAAATAGGAGATAGGTAACCTCAAAATAGACAAAACTTGTATCTTTTAAAGCATCCTTTTTTGGGGGAGGGAAAAACAAACCAAAATCAAGGTCTAACCTAGCAAAATAAAGGGCTTGAGCGGGGGCTTGTCAAAGCAATATTTACAGCAGATATATTTTCTTTACAACTTAAAAAAAGTGAAAAATTGCAAAAAAATCTGAAGAAAACATTGCTTTTCATGGAGCCTATTAGTACAGACGTCCTCAGAAGTAATAATATGGTAGGGTTGGAGATAAGTACTATTGCAAATTTTTTATAAATTGAATCAAATGGGGATGCATACAAGGGATGCATGTTAACACACACATGTTAACAGACATTGTAGATTTTTATTTCTAGATTTAAACATCACATCCTATTTTACTCTATTTATATCAGGCTTACAAAATTCGTAAGTTTTTACAGTTTATAAATTACATTACTCTGATCCTCAAAATAACAGGAAGAATAGGTATAGTACATTATCCCTGGATTATACATGAGGAAACTGAGACTCAAAGAAGAAATAACTGCTAATGGAAAAAATGGGATTCATGATCTTACACTGTCTATCCTAACTTATTGAAAAAAAATCTAAATTTAAACTCCAAAGTAAATGACCATACAACTTAAAGCAGTACAGGCATACCTTACTTGTTTCACTTAGCAGATACTGAGCTTTTTACAAAAACTTTGGCAAGTGATAAGTTGTCAAAAGCTTTGATGACAAAATTTTTTAGCAATAAAATTCTTTAAAATGCATTACATACATTGTTTCTTTAGATATAATGCCACAGCATGCTAAGAGACTACAGAATTACAGTATAAAAATAACTTTTCAATGAATAGAAAACCAAAAATCTCATGTGACCCACTTCATTCCAAAATTGGTCAAATTTGGTGGTCTGGACCAAACCAGCAACATCCCCAGATGTGCCTGAGCATTTTACATGCTACAAAGGTGAATACATAAAAGTGTAAGTGTGTACAAAATAGGGTAATACAGCAAGCCTTAAACTGGTATCCTTAGAAAGGGCTGCTTACAAAGTTGGTCTCTGGCTGAATAAGGACACTTAGATTTTGGAAGAGTTCTCACCATAGTGGGTAAGAACATAGCTTATGGTAGATACCTGGTTTCCTTCTGGTACTCTAGAATGGTAAATGTTAGGAATATGGAGTTTCTATTACCAGGGAATTGTTTCTTATGAGCTTTCCTGGTCATAGTACTTTTTACATGGGTTGTCAAAATTTTGTGCATCCCTTATATGCATCCCCATTTGATTCAATTTATAAATTTGCAATAGTACTTATCTGCAACCCTACCATATTATTACTTCTGAGGACGTCTATACTAATAGGCTCCATGAAAGGCAATGTTTTCTTCAGATTTGTTTGCAATTTTTCACCTTTTTTAAGTTGTAAAGAAAATAAATCTGCTGTAAATACTGCTTTGACAAGCCCCCGCTCAAGCCCTTTATTTTGCTAGGTTAGACCTTGATTTTGGCTTGTTTTTCCCTCCCCCCAAAAAGGAGGGAACTAAGCACATCTTATGTGTTTTTAGTTGAAAAAAGACTCAATTTTGGTCTGATTTTCTTCAGACTTCAACCCATGTCCCTATTTACTGATTCTGCTTTTTATTCTTTTGCTGCAAAAATCATTTCCATGAGTACAACTATGCAGAATCCTTTGATTATAATCTTCAGAACCCCTGACACAACGTTAAAATACTAGGCCAAAAAAATCTCAGGTGTGGGTAGGCCTCCATAGTGGCAGGGGTTAAAGTCTTAGTATTCTCAAAGCTATCACCAACCACTGCAACATGAGTTCAATCCCCAGCCAGGTCATTAATCTACATGGTGCAGCAGACTTCTCTTCCATCTTGCCCGCTGCTCCCCTCCACATTGTCTCTGGTGAATTCTCACTCCCAGCCCCCAAGCCCCACACTTCTGGCCTACATGCCAGTTTTTGTATGAACAAATAAATAAAAATAAATCTTTAATAAAAAACAGGTGAGATCAGAGATACATACATGCATGTTAAGAGGGTCTACTAGATGAGCAGCAATACTCATTTCATATTCTGAAAGCTTCACATTTTTCACACCAATTTGCTTCATTAGTTTTTCTGCCTAGAAAGAAACAATCAATCTCCTTTAGATATTGGCATTTCAAAATAAAATTATCTAGGAAATCTAAAGAGCAATGAAAGATATACAAGACAAGAATTTTCCAGGGATATACTAATCCCCTTAATCTTACCTCTCCCATTGTAAGCATTAAAGAAAAGATTTGAGGTTCTACTCCACAAAACCCAAAACCAGTTCTTAGGAAATAAGAAAAAGGGTACAAGACTGAAGATTAGACACACAGAGCCTCACACGGCTCCTATGAGACTTTAGGGTCCAACCTGCTTTCTCTTTCATAGTGGAATTATTTATCATGAGTTGGAGGTGACTCTGAAGATAAAAGACTGAGGAGCAAAAGATATCAAGAAATGGGCAACTGGACAATAAATAGTAATCTGAAATCGGGTATCTAACTTCTATCAAGACGCCCAAAAGGTGTCCATACCTAATTTCATTTTTTTTTTCTCCTGAGATGCCATCCCTTTGAAAGTCAAATCCTAGGGCTGGGCAACCAGAAATAATTGTGAACTAGAAGTGTATCTGTATGTACTTTTAGAGCTAGGCAAAACTAGCTTGAAACCTATGAGACTCAAATCTACTTGATCAAAGCTTTCTACCAGAGTAAAAAGTATGATGTTGATTTATTCAGTAGGCCCAACTATCATTCCAAAATATTATAAATGGATTATCTCACTAAATCCTTACAGTGATACTAAAGTCGGTACAATTTCCTACATCCCAACCTCCATCTTGATAAAAGAAAACTGAAGCTTAACATGATTAAATAATTTGCATTAGATTAAAAACTAGCAGTGGCATAGCGGGTTGAAGCATAGCACTCAGAAGCTAAAGCCACTTTCGCATGAGTTCAATCCCCACGTCCCCCAGGTGATCCACATGGCGCAGCGGAACCTCTCCTGACACGCCTGCTGCTCCCTTCAGCAGTGTACTTGTCAGTTGGCCTGTTCTGCTCCCCATTGTCTCTGGTGAATCCCCTCACCACCCCTGCACCTCTGTCCTATACTCCAGTTCTATGTGCATAAATAAATAAATCTAAAAAAAAAAAAAAAGCTAGCACATGACAGAAACAACAAAATTTAGGCAATCTAACTCTGTATTTCATAAGCTAACCACAACTAATCTACCTAACTTAAGATGGGAATTTATGACAAAAAAAAAAACTTAAAATCTATAAATGACATTTGAATTCAATTAATGAGTACTGTTAGAAATGAAGGTGCTCTTATAAATCTTACATATCTAAATTTCACTGTTTTCTTAATACACTTTTAATTATGTACAATGTTACTGTTTGTCATTGGTCTCTGCTCTAAAATCACATCGTAGCATTATAGGGGATCAGGATAAATGTACAATTAAATCTTAGTAAAAAAGCTTTTTGTAAAAATGTGCTCTGAAACACTTAATTTTTCCTATGTAGCCCCTCCCCTATAAAGTTCTGACTCAATGGATACACCTTTTGCAGCCTTTTTATCTTGCTGGCAAATATCTCCTCTTTCTCCACTTTTACATCTTTCATGTCAGCTCTGAAAGGTATCCTATTTTATTATCTTAAAATATCAATGTACTTACTCTTTTTCAATATACTTCTGTAAATGAGAAGCTATTCTGGATTTTTTTTTTTTTGGCATACTCTAAAACAAAAGTTCTCAACAGAAAAGGGAGGAAAAAAAGTATATTTATTAAGCACCTACTACTATATGCTCAGCATGTGCTAAACACTTTATAATCAACCCTTAAAACCACCCTAAAAATAAATATCACTACTGTTGTTTCAGGTGAGGAACTCAAAGGTCAGGGAAATTAAAAGTTACCAAGATTACATAGTTAGGAACTGGCACTGCCAGAGCTAAAACTCTGATGTGCCTACTTTTAAAATCCATGTTCTGCTAAAACACTATTTCCTCACTTGGCAGAACCAATAAAAGAAAGCACACAAAAAAACTCCACTATCCTACCACCAACTGTGTTCCAGGAATAAGTTTTCTAGTTGTCTAGCTGACACCTTTAAGTCCCTACTTGTGAAATGTTTTAACTATAAAAGCAGAAAGAGTTCATTATGACTGGACCCTTCAAAAAATGGTTTATGTTCATATATTGCTTTACTGTTTATAGCTTATTGACAATTTTATTTTCTAGTCATCAATGTTTGCTTGGTTTACAAAGTAGGTATCTTCAAGTACACACTGTATCTGCAAGAGGAAATGGTGGGCTTGGAGAAGAAAGAAGTCAGAGATAGAAGAGAAATTCACTCTTTACTATTAACCCATCTTTTTTACCCTTTCATACTATTTCATTTTCTTTCTCCATGTGAGTTATTAGGAAAAACAACAACATGAAGTGAAGCAGGGATAAACTAATTAAACCTATAAAGTAACAAATCTTTACTGAAGTACATAGCTGAAGAACTCCAATTTAGATATACATAGAAGAAATTTTTATAAAACTTTTAAAAATGCAATTAAATGGAAATAGCAAAGAATCTGAGCAATCACCTCTTTATTAGGTGCAAGCCCTTATCACCAACTTACATTAAAACACCATTTTGTAGACATGCAGTCAACTTCTAGTCTAGGATTAATATACTTACAATTTCGTCCAATTTTAATGTACATATCCTGAAAATTATTGTCTATGAAGGCATTATATTTTACTGCTGTTCTACCATGCTATGCATAAAAAACTATACTGCACTGAATTTTTTTCTTTTAAACCTCCCTGTCATTGCTTTACTTTCATCATTTGTATCTATCCCTGAGGGAGTCATGTAACACGGACCACTTATATCTTCCTTTCTGCCTTTTCTTGTTTACTTCAACTTTTCAGTTTCCTAAGAATCATGTGTAAGTAAACCAGTTTTAAAAATCACCTGACTGGCAATGCAGTTCACAACAGCCTCCTGTGTTATCTCATTTATAACTTCTTTCAAAATAAGTGAAATTAAGTTTTAAAGATTACAATATAATGAAATAAAAATAGGAAGATAATAAGTTAAATGACTTACGTCAGAGTATTTGACCTTCATATGGATGGAGAATTCTTAGTGAATTCTTTCCTGGCAGTTGAAATAACAACTCAGGGATATGATACAGTCTAATACTCTGCATAGAGTCTTGTATTTATAAATGCCCAGAATAGATCAAGCATTGAGTTATTCAACCTGTTCTTGAAAGCTCTTGAGTATAATCAGAGATTACCTGTTTTTCTATAATTCAATTAACCTACATACCTATCAAAACTCTTATTAAATCTAAGTATGTTCCAAGCAGCAGCAGCAGCAGCAGCAGGTGTCCAGAGAATCCATCTTTGCAGTGCAACACTCTGCTGAAACCATCTTCTCCCATTACTAATGAACCCATATCTCACAAAGTTGGAAATTTTGCTGTCTTCAAGCTAGAAATAATTTACAAAGATCCTGTTTAATCCAAACATAATGCCACTTCTATTTATTATTCTTGATTTGAATGTATCTATATTATCCATTACCTTTCATCTCAGAACTGCACTGACTTTAAACTCACTGCTTATCTGGTCGCCTCAGAACATTATCTATTATACTCCGTGCTCTTTCTTCATGGTGACAGAAGTCATACTTTCCTTCTCTCCCTCATTCAGACCTGGTTATTGCCCTCAAAATCACTCAAATACCTTAATTCTCTCCCATACTCTAACGAGATTACCCCATTTGGCAATTTTTTACTTCTAATTAACCTGGCTCACAGGTCATTATTTCAACAGTGTCTTTTGCAGTACCTTAGAAATAGTTAAATTTCTCGCCATGCCAGTTAATCCTTAATCTCACTATTGTTTGTGTCACCATTGACCTTTTTTTAAAAAAGATTCATTTATACCTAAAGAACTGGGTACAAGGGTGGTGAAAAAACTCATGAGAGACAGAGCGGGGAGCAGAACAGGCAGATTGAAGATGTACACCGCTGAGGGGAGCAGTGGATGAGACAGGAGAGGTCTGCTGTGCCATGTGGGTCACCTCCCTGGTCAGGGATTGAACTTGCGCTGAAGTAGCTGCTGTGCTTTAAGTGCTTTAACCTGCTGCGCTACCAGGGAGGGTCCTACCATTGACTTTTTCTGCTACCAAGTTGCTGAGAAATACTTGAGAAGTTACTTAAAACTGAGTTTCCAATAAATTAAAGCTTTCTTCAACTGTTCCATTTTCCATTCATTGCTGGTTAATATAACCTTTCCCCTTCACTGAAAATAAAACATTAAGCTCTTTTTAAAATATTCCTCTAGGGACTTCCAGGTGGCATGGGGATTAAAGTCTCAGCACTATCAAGATATTGCCAGCCACTGTGTCATGAATTCTATCCCCAGCCAGGGAACTAATCTACACGATGCAGCAGACCTCTCTGGTCTTGCCCAATGATTCCCTCAGCAGTATATTTCAGTCAACCCACCTGTTCTGTTCCCAACTCTATCTCTGATGAATCCTCTAACCCCCTGCACCTCTGGCCTGTACCCCAGTTATTGTATGCATAAATAAATAAATCTTTAAAAAAAAAAACAAAACTATTTTTATTCATTGCTTTCCCTTTGTATACACAGCTTAGTAAAAAGGATTTTTTTAATTAATATTTTAAAAGAATAATGTGGTTCTTATAGAGCATTTCATTATTTTATAACTTTACTACATTCTGAATTTTTTTTATATATTCTGAATTTTTAATGAAAAAATATTTGCTAGCTACAAGTAAAATGATCCTCAAACATTTTAATCATACCTGTTTCTGAGCTTCTACTTTTTGTTTGCGAGTTGGATCAATTGCATCTACCATCCATTTGATTGTGAAGTATGTTACTGCACCAAATATTGTCAAACGGAAAATTAAACCAACAACTTCATTCCGACTCAAAGGACGAGAAAAGGCTTCAGCATGTACCATCTTGATTGTAACCTTAAAAATAAACAGAAATGTTATTAAGTAATGAATATAGTCATTAAAATTGGGAGACTTATAAATAGTTTAAAGAAGAATAAATTTTAATCAAATTCAACATTACCTACCTTAAAAATGTCTCACTTTAAGGAGAAATGTATTTTTTAAAGCCAATACATTTTCAGCTCCCTTTGGAAACTGAACAGATCAGAAGCTAAGGTTTATATAGCAATTAACCTAAAAGTGCATATAATTCAAGAAAAGTAATTCTATTTGAAAAATAACCATGTTGAAGTATTTACTCTTTAAACAGTTTTTACAGAACTATTTCAAGTCTAGAAATGCTGTAACACTAATTCAGCTGTTGAAAGGTGGCCCAACAATAAAATATTTTAATAATGTGATAAGAATTTCTCCCATTACATGAAATGTATTGCAGGAAATTTGGAATGAAGTACAAACTGTGAACAGACACTTCTTCATCTATTTTTTTTTTTAAGGTTTGTTCATTTATTTAGACACACAGAACTGGGGTTCAGCCAGAGTTGCAGGGGCAATGAGAGGATTCACCAGAGACAGAGTGGGGAGTAGAATGGGCAGATCAACGAAGTTCACTGCTAAGGAGAGCAGAGGGCGAGTGAGGAGAGAGGTCTGCTGTGCCATGTGGATCACCTCAAGGGCTGGGGATCTAAGCTGCACTGAAATGGCTGCAGCTAGCTTGCTATGTCCTGACCCTTTAAGCCACCAGGAAAGGCCCTGTTCATCTTTTTTTTAAAAATATTTTATTTACTTATTTTTGCATAGGAGAACTAGGATGTTGGTCAGAGGTGCAGTAGGTGATAGTATTCACCAGAGACAGAGTTGGGAGCAGAACAAGCATATCTACTGAAATACACTGCTGAGAGGAGTACTGGGCAAAACAGGAGGTATCTATCTGCTGGGTCATGTGGTTAGCTTCCAAGCTGAGGACCAAATTCAGTCCTGCTTGGTGCTACCTAACAGTGGTAGCACTGAGCCTTAACCCTTAGGCGGCCACCCAGGAAGCCCACACCATGTGGGTTACCCCTCTGGCTGGGTACTGCAGTGGCTGCGGGGAGCCCCACAGTGCTGTGATCTAACCCACTGCACCACCAGGGAGGGCCAGGGAGGCCCTTTTTCATATTTACTTTTAAAGACTTTTACACCCTTTGTAAATTTAAACAAGCCATTTTCTCAGTAGTTAATGGAATTAATTTTTGAGCAACCCTATAGCTTCCAACAACCAAACTAATTTATTGAAAGAATCAAGAATTTTCATACACTATAGCACTTACGCCCCCCCCCAAAAGTGATTTTTTACATATATTCCTGAGAATCTATATCAGTTAAGCTTATAGCAAGCATGCACTTCCCTGTTAAAGATAATGACTACCCAGAAGAATAAACTTGTTAGGAACAATACTGCTGTAATTCTGGGAGATAAAAATCTCAGCTTCACCCAGGGGCTTCCCCACTGACACAGAAATTAAGTCTCAGCACAATCACTATTGACAGCCACACGGGACAGTAGACCTCTGTCTCACGTCCCCAACCCTGCTCCCCTCAGTGGTGTATTCCAGTTGCTATGCTTGTTCTGTTCCCCACTCTGTCTCTGGTAAATCTCCTCCTGCACCTCTAGTCTATGTCCTAGTTCTTCTATGCATAAATAAATCTTTTAAAAAAATCTCAGTTTCAAATAATACCATTAATACTCGCACAGCACAGGACTCTGTTCGGATATTTTCTTGGAAAAGAGAAAATATACATAATTTAAACTCATGAGAAAACGCATAAATGGGAATGTGTACAGATGGCTCCACAACAGATAAAAATTAGGTACTGCATAGATAGATGCACAGAAATCATACTTAAGGTGCTTCTACATCTACAGTTGCTTCTCTTTTTCCAATTACTGTTACCCAAAGACCTCTTCACTTCCTCCTTCTCGAATCAATTTCTCTTATGTATCTCTCCTCAAGAATATATTCTCCTTTTTTTAAAAAAAGATTTATATTAAAATCTTATTTATATTTATACATACAAAACGGGAGAACAGGCCAGAGGTGCAGGGGGTAAGAGGATTCACCAGAGACAGATTGGGGAGCAGAACAGGCAGATGTACTGAAATACTTCTAAGGGGAGCAGCAAGTGGGTCAGGAGGTCTACCATGCCAGGGATCAAACTGCCTCCCAGCCTTGGGATGCTGCAGTAGCTGCATAGCTTCATAGTACTGTGCTGTAACCCTTGTGCCAACAGCGAGGACCCTATTCTCCTTCCTAAAGATTCCAAAGCTTTCCCATTAATTTCTGTATTCTCAATATTCAAGAGTGTCTTAATACAGCCATAATGAGTAACTTTTAAGTATTTATTTTCTCTCCAATTTTCCAAAGAGACTCTCAGTAGCTGGAGTCACCAGTATTTGAAAAGTCACATATTATCTTCCCACCAGTACATTTACCCAGTACCATGAATGACTATTTCTAGCCCATTCATTGGGGACTAAATTCTACTCAGACTTCACAAACTAACTATCCCTGCTCTGTGAAAGCTTTCAGCTCACATGAACATACTATATTTTCATTTATTATTGAACTTACATGGCATCTATTCTACTCAAACACCGTTTAAACCATAAAGATTTATATCTTGTTCATCTTTATAAATGTCACATAAATGTCACAAAACAGAGGCTATTCAGTAATGCTACCTCTCAAAACCTCCTATCAAGTCATTTCATACATTTTCATTGGTAGGAGCCATTTACTTCACAAGAGAGTACAATTTAATTTATACTTAACTATCAATGCCATTTTGCGACAACACGGATGGTGCTGGAAGGAATCAGTCAGTGAAGTAAGCCAGAAGGAAAAATATCAGATGTTTTCACTTACAGAAGAATATAAGGGGACCAAATAAGATCAGGAAAAAAAAATAGTAATAATAACAACAATAATAAAACTAGCAGGCAACCATAAAGCAGAAGCATTTTTCGAGGGGGAGGAAAAGCAATCATGGCGGGGAGAGGTTCTGGTTCATGGGACTTGGTGGTGGAAATCTTACAGGAAATACACAATGATGTAAAATATAAATAAAAAATAAGAAAAATGTATACTTAACTAAATTGATGTTCTTTCTTTGGTAAGAGCCTAGGACATAAAATGATTAATTCATACAAAAAAGCATCAAACATGTGTATGTCTACTACACAACTGGCTATATACAACAATGAGTAAAATACAGTAACTACTCCAGGAATGCAGTTATTATACATTTTCAAAATAGCGTTAGGGAGGAGAAACCACCTAATTACAACTTTCATATAACAAATCAAAGTGTGCTTTCTTCCACTAGCATGGACCCCTAAAAATACTCTCCTCATAGAGAACAAAAAATTTACTTCCCCAAGCATCCCTGGTGGCACAAAGGGTTGAGTTTCAACACAATGAAGCTATTGGCAGCCACTGCAGCACAAATTCGATCCAGCCAGGGAGCAGACCCAATGGCACAGCAGACCTCTCCTATCTTGCCCACTGCTAACCTCAGCCCCTCAGCAGTGTATTTCAGTCCATCCACCTGTTCTGCTCCCCACTATTCCTTTGATGAATCCTCTCACCTTGAGCACCTCTGGCCTATACCCCAGTTCTTGGATGCATAAAATAAATCTACTTTTTTTTTTATTACAAAAGTTTATTTTTACATCATTTTGTACATTTTTTTTTCATCTCAATTGTAATCCCCGCGGGTTTCCCATCACCAAAATCCCGTGCATTTCCCTCCCCCCACCCCGTTTTTGATCCCATTCCCCACTCCACCCCCACA